TGAGTGGGAGCACGATCTCCATGGTGATAGTGATGCAACCTGTGTAGACGTAGTCCACTATGCCACTGAGGACATCTGAAGAGATCCCCTTCAGATTCACTCGGGCCTGACTGCTCTCCAGAAAGTTGCTGCAGAACATGGCGCGGAAGTACGGGCTGCTGGAAACCAGGACGTTCCTGTGGCAGGGGATCTCCTGCTGCTCGGTGCAGAGCAGGACGTCTGTCAGGATACGCTCCTGACGCAGGATGTTGAGCTGGGCATGAAGGTGGGTGGGAAGTTCTGAGTCTTTGTAAGAGAAAACCTCTCGTGGTTTTAAGGCCATTCTGTGGAGAGGGAAAAGAGAGACTCCATCATCAAAGTGTTTCTATCGTCTGTATTGGAAAAGCATGGGCATACACTGACATTGCATGGTTCTATCAGATATCGGGAAAAGCATGGATCCGTTCTACTCTCATGTCTGGAGTTAAGTAGGGGGATGCAGCCAGGAAACAGTTAGCTTAGCTTAGCATAAAGACTAGACACAGGGAGAAGCCGCATTTCCTGTACAAAAACAAATCAAATCAAAATCAAATCAAGTTTTATTTATATTGCACATTTTTAAAACGATTTTTGGTCGAGCCAAAGTGCTGTACATATAATAATTACCTTACAGTAAGGACACTTTACAGCAAATATAACAGCACAGTTTGTGCAGAATATCAGTATGAGAAAACGAAGTGTAAGTATATACCAATACGATATTTGTAGACTTAATCAACATATGGCAGTATCAAATGAAAAAAGTAATTTCTTCAAATTGTATAATATTCCTTTTAGGTCTAAAAGTAGAATGGGATTCCTCTACAAACTACTCAAATGACTAATCTTCCAAAAGGGCAGTTTTTGCTTCATTTTTACATTTCAATAGCAGACGTTTTTCCAAAGTTTAGGTTAGTTAATTTATGTATATATGCTTTAACATTTTATCTGGTTTTATGAGACCAACTCAAACTCTGAAACTTCTGCTGAGCAGCTGTCCTTAAAGTGAAGATTACTGACTGACTGCTATTTTTACCTCCTCCAAATGATCTTGATGCATCCATGTAGCATTAGGCCACATCTCCCATATCAAGCAGCCCATCACCGCTAACATTAACAGAGCTGTGTCATCACACCATCTTTATTTGTCTCTCCTCTCTCTGGACATTTCTCTGCCTCTCTATCTCTGTTGCCATTTTCCTCCTCTCTCAAAGTCTCTCTCTGTCTCTCCCTGGTTGGACAGTTTGTTAAGACCTTTCGGTTTAAAGAGCAGGAATTTCATTGTGCTATTAGCAACACTAAGGCTTTTAATCACCCAAAGTGACAGCTACTGATTTACTCCCACTTACAGGGCCTGCCAGCCTGTTGGATATATTTGGACCTCTAGTCATTACCTTTTATTATGAAATGACTGTAACAGACATTTCACAACTCACAGTTTAAGCAGTTACTTCACAGATCAGATGAAAAATACAAAACATTAATTAATAATTAAATTATGATATCATTATGTCCATAAGGCTTTATAGGTCTTTAGGGGGAATTAAAAGGCTACCAAGCAGAATGAACATAAATACATAGAATATAAATACATTAAAAAAAGCTGCAAAATTAATGCATCAATAACTATTATTCAATAATAATTGTAACTCTGAATTGGGCCAGTTTGCATAATTAGTGCTCTTATGTTGGTACTTTTGTATATTGTGATGCCTTCACTTTTGTACTTTTTGTTTTTTTAGTTCAGTCAGATATTATTACTATTGTTACTTCTTCCACCACTGTGCAAAAAATATCATTTGGGATACTTTGTAATCAGTCGTCAATAATGTTTCTAAACATTTATTATGTAACCAATATGGTTTTTTTTATGCTCTTTTGTGACCTATGTATACTTTAAAATTCTTCTGCTGTTACCAAATGTCAAAGCTGATTTATAAACATATCATTAGTACAAACTATTAAAATAATGGCTTTTTAAGTTATTGTAACAGAGGCAAAGCCTCAGTTACCTAATCATAAACAACATTTGTGATCATAATGAATTATGATTGAAGCAGACAATGAGCTTATGGCTGAACAAAAGTTCTGAAACATTTAAATATCATATTTTCATCAAACTGATAAGTTTGAGAGAAACGTGTTGTTGTCAGTTCATCAGTGAGCATCTGTGACTGAATAAATCCTTACCTCCTGTCTTCAGAAAATCAATAATATCCAAAATCAGTGGTTGGTTTGGACTGAAAAAATTATCAAATCCTACGAAGAACAAACCAAAACAGTATCCAGAGAGAAAATGTAGTGTAGTCAGGGAGAGAAAAGGAGCATGGCACAAAGAAACGAACAAGCTTTCCAGTTAGGCGCTGTGGAGCTCGCCATGAGGCCACTGTGTACATTCCTGCAGCTAAGAATAGTATCCCAGCCACCGTGACTCCAGCCAGGCCTCTCATGTGACACAGAGCGGTTTGGTACCCAGTTGCCGGCTTAGCGGCTCTGCCCGGGTCCAGTGTTTACAAAGGCCAGGGGAGGGAGAGCCATCACAAGGCCCTGACTCAGCCATCGGGCCCACCCAAGCTGGAGTTTAATCAAAGAGTCCCAAAACCCTTGTCCATCTTCTGTGCTGATTAGGTCCCTTCCTACTCCTCCGTCATGTGTGTAACCCAGGATGAAGGTAAATATAGAGCAGTGCTGATGGGCCGTCTTGATCAGAGAAAACAGCTGTAAGAACCAGGCCCAGTGTGCGTCAAGATGTGGTTTCTCTTCATGCACAACTGAAGATGACTGCAGTTACTACTTCTCACCTGTTTGAAGTGTCAGTTACCCTGTAGCACTGTATGTGTCACGTTGCCAAATAGCATCCATGAAACCCAATCCTGGATATAGTTTAGATGTACATACTGTGGTCTCAGAGGCATATTTGGCCACTATGACATGTAGTTGTGATTTTACATGAGTCGATTGTTCATGAGTCCACACACACACACACACACACACACACACACACACACACACACACACACACACACACACACACACACACACACACACACACACACACACACACACACACACACACACACACACACTTTAAAATAACTGAAAAAACAATAAGACTGTTACTGTATACTTTTTCCAATGTAAATCCATTTATTTCAAGCTTCATGTTTTCCTTCATCATACAGCAGGAAAATAAAATCTTTAATATCACGGTAACTACAATGGAGATTACAAAATCTCTTTGACAATATGTCCTGAACGCACATTATTTTTTCTATTTACAAGACACAGAAACTTGCAAATTGCTTTCTAGTGGAAACTGCTCTAATCTCATATCAAGAGTGAATAACCTCTGAGGGTTTATGGTAAAAGAGGCCGGAAAACAGTGATCGGAGGAACGGGCACATTACCCTTGGCTGAAAGATAGAATCAGAATCAAGACAAGATCTATTGCAACATGATTCGAAGTCACTGACGGGAAAGATTTAAGAAGAAAAAAAAGTATTCTTCTTTGATGTCATAACCTCATTCTCATACTTTTCAGAGAGATATGATTCCATGGGTTTCTTTTCCTGACAGTAAATATCTTTAAGATGTCTTTTCCCTGTCTCAAAAAAAGGCCTTATCTTCAGCCCCTCTCTAATTTGCTCTCCATGACGTTCCTGATGCAGTGAGATGAAATACTGTCTATTTGTTTAGTGGCATATCACAAGAAACTGGAGTTACATGTGGACAGATTGAATGACAAAGCTGCAAGAAAGTGGGCTGTCAGCAAGTCAGACATCATGGCATGCGAGCACACGCTGCATTGGTGGACTTTGTCACACAGTGAAATCCTACACTCCACACACCAGTTACCAAGTGACAGCTTCATGCTTGAGGTCATGGTGTGTACTACACACTCACACTTCAGGGGCGAAGCTCAAAATCTGACAAAGACCACCCATAATAAATGCAGGTTGAGGTGCAAGAGGAAGGTTATAATCTTCCACTTTTATCTTACAGGTTCTCCATATTTCATATTGTTCAGTCAGGGGCATGAACAGGCACCACTCAGTTAATGTTATTCTAAAGTGTCAGACAATCCTGATTTATCTTATTCCCCAGAGGCTATCGACTTCCATTGTTGACATAAAACTATAAAAAACACATCAATGAGTCACACTGGGTGACATGACCATGGGCATTGTAGTTTATTTTGAGTGGATCCTCCCTTGAGTGGGTCATATGACAGTGGGCTCCGTAAACAGGTTTACAAATAAACATTTTCAATACTCCACAGATCTGTTTAATGTCACAAATAAATAAATATGTTTAATGTGTAATATCTTTCGAATTGTGTTGTTCTTTCACATATAGTACTATAGAAGTATAACATATTGGCGCCATAAATAATTCCAAGGGACATATACAAAGTGGGGACCTGGAATATATTCTGTGTTGTTAGGGGTCCTTGGCTGAAATAAGAATCAGTAATATCTGCAGTAGAATGTAAAATGTGCATTAATCTGTGTCTGAAAATAGACCCCTCCAAATACGCTATTAACTGTTTGGGTGATGTTGCTACAAACCACAATGACCCATGTTATACAGGCTTTATTTGAAATAGAAGTACGCTGTTTTTGTTTGTTGAAAACAGGCAGTGGTGGAAGAAGTACTCAGTTGTTATACTTTAGTAAAAGTAGTAATACGTAAGTGTAGGAATACTGGTAGAGTACAAGTATAAAGTAGCATCAAATCGAAATACTCAAGTAAAGAGATGCACCTCCAAAATGTACTTGTATGAATGGGCTTGGTGCAGGCTTTTATTTGTATGTGTTGATAATAAGAAAACAAAATAAGACATATCCTTTGAGGCAGGTTTTTGAGGTGAAACACTATCTTTCATTTTGATATAAATTAGGTTTGTTTGATACTCCATCACCTCTCATCTCTCACTGTGCTCTTGAGCCCCATTCACATCCACCGTCACGCCTCGACCGGAAGTGACGGATGTAGCCACGAGCCCGACGAACGGCTTGTTCGAAAATACAACAAGGAAGTGACCGTTTATTGTAAAGGAAAATAACCACCGGATAATAAACGCTCTCCTCACGTCGGGGGTCGCCTTGCTCGGTTGTTGGGTGTCGGGGGGGTAAAGTCACCGTGGACTTGCCCGAGGTTTCAGGTCGTCTCCAGGGATTCTGGTTGTAGCCAGCAAGCTAGCTAGCGATGAACACGGACGTGGAATTTCACATCAGGCAGAATTATCCTTGGACCAAGCTTCCTGCTAATGTCAAACAGGTACCGTATTTTTAAGCTATCCTCAGGGGGAAGGTGAGCGGGGAACACCGGTGTGTGCTGGGGGGTGAACCTGTCAATGTCACCGCGGGGCTCTGTGTCATACAGCTGTCAGTGTCGCACCACTCGGTAAATAACCTCTGCAGAAATACAGCCGGAGCCACAGCTGGCCATCTTTACATTACAGCCCCTGAAGCTACCCTGGCTGGCATCACGTGACAGGCTGCTCAATAGGTGGCGTCACATGATTTTAGCGCGTGGATATCATTCATACCTGTGTGCATAATGTGTGTTTTAACTATAGGCTTGCAATGTCGAAGAATTACGAAGGTTATTTTATTATGAATAGTCTGTATAACCCCCTCCTCCTGCATATACGTTGTGCTATCACGCTAGCATGTCGTGCTGAAGTGGAGGCGGGTGTATGTACACACAGAGGCTCTGTGCATCCTCACCAGAGATGCACACCCTTGGGAAATATCAGTTTTTTATTATGTTGTAAGTCTTTTTGTCTGACAAACATGAATGCATCAATATGGAGGGATTCAAAAATGATGGTTAACTGCAGCACAGCACCCAAAGGTGTTATAGTTTCAGTGCTTTGCTCATGGGCATCCTGGCAATGCCCAAGATGTGACTGGCTCCTCTCCAGCTACCAGTCAACATGACATACTTGGTCTGTGCAGGGACTTGAACTAGCTTCCCTTCGGTTCCCAGCGGACTGAGTTAATGCCGCCCAAAGATGTGTGTGTGCATCTACCCAGAGGCACAATAAAAACATCCAAGTGCCCAACAGGATTGCTGCTGGATCAAATACATATCCAACATCATTTGCACAACTTTGCTCCACTGCCCAAAGGCTCTATACCTCAAGGCTTTTTGGGAGTCATCTGTTTTTTGTTGAAATAATTGAATAGTTTTACGGATGCGCATTGTTTCCAAGTTTCTCTCTCCCGATAAAGATATACATTTCAATTCAGGTTGTTTTCTTTCTCTTAAATTTAAATCTACACCGCTTACTGCGTGGGTATAACTACCAGAGGCCAGATACTGCTGTGTCCCTAACTGAGTCGAAGGCCTGCTGTAGCCAAAACAATTAACTTTATTATGACACTGACAAAGTGAATACAATGTGAATGGGTAAACTAGGGCCAGGAAATGTTCTAGCATGGGACAATTATACACATTGCACAGACAATGGTAGAAAGATGTTGATAAAAAGGGGCCCAGTAGGTCATTTTACGCCCTAAAATGTGAATCAAACCATGATCCTAACCTTTGTGCTTTGTTTTGCTCTGCAGTGTTTGGGGAACTCTCAGCGAGAGTATGAGAAGCATGTGCTGCTCTACAGCATCCGCAACCAGCTGCGATTCCGCAATAACCTAGGTGAGTTACGATTTTACCTCACGCCAGTGCTAAACATACACCTTGTACAGTACTCACACATGATGATACGCTGCTGTGAGATTAAAAGAGCTAACATATTCACTTACATTAAATAGCATAATAAAAAGGCATAAGGAATATGTGGACTAGCAGAATATGTGCCCGGGTATCTAAAAAGGCAGTTAAGCAAAAATTGCACCTGCACAAGGCCATCTTCCCAACAAACGCATTCTCTCACAGGTACATTCCCTGGAATATTGGTAATACTTGACCCCCATTTCGGTACGATGTTATGTGTATGAACAGGTAATGCGGTTTTAGTGATATCAACACATTACCTATATAATTTCCCAGTGTCTAAAACACTTTATGTAATCAATTGTCTAACTTGCTATGTGACCTTTTGAAGCCTATTCAGTATTGTATAATTGTTCCTTTTATTACCTGGATTTACCTATTTTAGGTTTCCCGGAAGTATGACAGCATGAAAACTCATGTTATATGTGGCTCAGTGGATAGAGTGCTGGACTTCGAATTAGGGGGTAGCAAGTTCGAGTCCCACTGCAGTCAGCATGTCGTTGTGTCCCTGGGCAAGACACTTCACCTCAAATTGCTCCTGTGGAGATTGTCCACAGTACTGAATGTATGTAAGTCGCTTTGGATAAAAGCGACTTACAAATGACATGTAATGTAATGTAATTTTATGAACAGTGCGCCACGTGAGGAAGGATGAGCGCAAGTATTATGAGGAGCTCCTGAAGTACAGCCGTGACCACCTGATGCTGTACCCCTACCACCTGTCTGACATCATGGTGAAAGGGCTGCGCATCACTCCGTTCTCATATTACATAGGAATCATGGAGGTAAGCCACTCCTGCTGCAATGCACAACAGAAAATGAAGAATGGGGTTTGATGTGGAAAGGCTTAAATTCATCAGGATTTGTGTTAGTCTTCTCAAACACCTGAACATCTATCTTTGTAAACACAGTATGTGAAAGCTCTGGCTGATTTCCAGCATTGCTGTCTTCTGAAACCAAAGACAATAACAAAGGTGATTTTCACATTTCCGTCTGCGCTTATAGAACAATGAGCTGGGTAAACTGCAAGGCGACGAGCAGGAGTTGTTATTGTTCATCAGAAAAGATTCACTAATTGGTTTCGGAGCTCCGTCTCTTATTTAAATTGAACAGTGCCTCATTTTTGGCATCCCTGGTAACTACTGTGGAAAAAGCAGTTTTAGACTAAACAAAGAATCCATACAGCCATTATAATAAGAAAGATCTAAGCTTTTCACAACCCCCTGCAGCTATTTGTAATGTGTTCTTTGAATCTTGGAAATATACTATATGATATGGTACACCTGAAAAGATTTGCTGAAAAAATACCCTTTGTTGCAGCTACACCTTAATCATGTATGCACAGTATGTTACAGGAGCTAGCACTATTGAGCCACATTATTTTAATTATATTTAAATTGCATGTATAACCAGAGGAACATGATGTAACATGATAGAGCTGCATCAAATAGATTTAAGATTTATTCATAAAATTGCTGCTGAAAATCCAAAAATCATAGTTTTATTGAAAAAGTAGATAATCTCAATAATTCACACCACATTTGTAGCTACTGAAATATTAGAGATTCTATTTGAAAAAACATAAACATTTATATTTTAAGCAACAGACACAGAGTTATATTAGTTAAAGAGAGTTTAATTCATAACTAAGACAGACTCATTTGATACAAAGAATCCCTTTTAAAAAAAATATAATTTCTTATGTGATGAATTCACACAATATGACAACAGACATTCAAAGCATTTGAAAACCTCAATAGAAACTTTGAATTAAAGACGTCCATATGACATGGCATACATTACCACCATCATCAGATAGATATATTCGGTTGTTCTATAAAATATTCTGTCTTGAGTATTTCTATGTTGATCGACCTGGCATCAGTCAGGCACTAGGTGTCAGTCAGAGTCTAGTGAAGCCTCGTGTAGCAGCTGAGAGACACAGCACTGATCCCAGGATAAACACACCCAGAAACATGTTTTCTGTTTGCTCTGCAGTCATTTTTGGCTTTGTCCGCATCACGCCTCACCCTCTCTGATAAGTCTGTAACACTTTCTCTGAGACTTTGACCAGGACCAGTACTTCTTGACTCCCGACAATAATGGATACAACAACTCATCGAACTGTTTCCATGGTGCTGTAGCTTGAAAAGTAATCAATATACATATAATAGTTGGATGTTTTTAATGACAGTAATGCGCCTGCATCAAATCAAACTTTATTTATACAGCAATGTTCATACACAGATAGTAACACACAGTGCTTCACAAACAATAGACAAAAATAAAAACAACGCCCCCTTCTAAGGTGATAAACAGAGTAGTATTATATAATTATGAAAATTAGAAACACTTGATGCCAACAGAAGTCAATAAACACAGAAGAATAAGAACATAAGAATCTATAAGAATAAATATAATTCAATTAAAAGTCAAGTTAAAAGCGTGGGTAGTGAGTTGGCTCCTGAAAGTATGAACTTTCTCTGTAGTCTAGTTCCCTCTGTTCTGTTACACTTGAAGCTGATTACATATATTGTGTATCTTTTTTCATAATGCCCTCAGATATATCTTTTCAGTTTCTCCACCCTGTGTGTTTACTCAGAGAGGGTGTGTGCAGATGCCAGCAGCCACATATGATTGTTCCACATTCACATTACTTCCCCCTTTCAGAGAAGATATGACTAATAAGCCCAAAAGCTCTTTCTTACAACTCAACTTAAAAAGGCTTCTTTCATTTGCCTATGCATGCTAAACTTAACTTGACTGAGCTTTTAATTGTGGCCGCTGAATTGCCGAAGGCTATGTCATATTCTGATAATCCGTTTTAAGCACTTAATGTAAATGGGTTGTAGAAATTAGCACAGCCGCCCAGATCTGCTAATCCTGTTATTAACCAGAGGCAGAGGGACACAGAAAGGGAAAGAGGGAAATGAGTTCAATTATTTTCCCTGTGTCCTTCCTGTCTCCACCTTCCCTAACTCTCCCTTCCTTCTTTGCACCTCCAGGATATTATGAACAGTGAGAAGAGTTACGACTCCTTGCCCAACTTCACTGCTGCTGACTGTGAGTTTTTCCTCATCCGTATTTTTTTCTCAGTTCCCCCCCCCTTTGCTAGGGTTGTTGGAGGTCGTTCATACGGTCATTGGAGGGGCACATTACATTTAAACTGGAGATATTCAAGAGTTATCGGACATTTTGTTTATTCACGGGGCGAAATCAGCACCTATAATGAAACTAAAGCTGGAACAAATTGATTATTTGATTAACGGAAAGCTAACTGTTTTGATAAATCGTTTTAATAAAACATATTGGTTTGGTCGGACATATAGAGCAATTTAAAGAGATTTCCCTCAGCTAAAATATTTTCTGTTTTGATTCAAATGTTGTTGTTTTTTTTAACACGGAGCATGTCCTGTATCCAATATAAGTAAATTAAGCCAAATCAAATATTTTTACGGAAGTTGGGTATATTATTTGTTGATAAAAATAAGTTTTCTTAGTGTTAGCATTGTGCCTCTGCTTTGACGAGGCATGCCTTTCCTATAAGACTTCTACCACTTTCCCTCAAACAACAAACTAATCTCACTATGGTTTTTTTGACAGCTTATTAGAGTAACGATTTTCAAAACCCCCTGACAAGCAATAATCAATCTGAAACGTGTCTCTGTATCTCTGTAACAATCCAGCTCTGGTAAATAGATTTATTTTGGATTGACTGATATAAATTACATTTTATAAAGGATTATAAATTGCTTTTCTGCAATGATAATACTTGACCAAGGAGCTGTGGTTCTCGGTAATGATTGTAAAACCAGATTAAGATTGTGTCAAAGCTGGAAGTGTACAGGCAGTTGTAGCTTTCTTTGTCTTTCTGCTGTCAAGTGTAAAGGGCTTTGGCGTTGGCCTGTGAGTGGCCGAGTCCTGGCTGAGCAGGACCTTCACGCTGTGGGGACAGAAGGCTGCCAGCAGGGGCTTTTCTCCTCAAATCTCTCTGAAGGAGCTTTGGAAGTGTGTCATGCAGCAGTGGGTGGCTGGAGAGACAGCAAAGTGCGTGTGTGAGAGTGTTTTTTAGTAGGCGGTTGTTTGTGTGTCTGTGAAAAGGCAGGATATGCGTGCAGGATTCTGCTGCGATAGTAGGCCGAAATGCGAACATCCCTTATTTGTCCCTGAATGCGCTGGCAGCCGTCCCAGCACATTCTGCTCTGCCCCTTCCAGCCATGGGCATCAGAGGCTTGAGGAAAGGACAAGGTGGGATCTAGAGTCAGATAATTATACCTCTACCTCTGTACCAGCTTTACAACTGTGCTTCATGGGCCAGTATTTTCTCAAACAGACCATACGTCTTCATTTATTCACAGATAAAAATGCATGCACACGCTCACTCTTAAGATACCTCCCTAGATGGATTAGTGGTGCTTTTGTGTCTCTGTGTGTTTGGATTGTCTAGAAGAAGAATTGGGAGGGATGAAACCCTCTTTAAGGGTCACACATGCAGAGCACACAGCACACACAGTGACATTTGTTCTCTGCTTTTAACCTATCCTAGTACCAGGAGTCTAGTACTAGGAGCAGAGAAGGTGTGTGGTATTTGTGTATACGTACCCCTTCAGCAGAGTTGGGATGAGTCACTGCTGCCGCTCGTCAAGCTTTCTCCGAAGCCACTCTCAAATATGAAGTTGGAAATATCCAGAAAAAGCTCATTCTCAAACTTCTTTCTTCTTGCTGTAATTCTCTGCTGCAAAGCCTCAAAGTCTGTAATTGAAAAATGCCTCAGACACTTTTTTCCAAGCTGTACTGCAGCCAGAATGATATGTCTTAGTACATGTACAGCAGTGGCGAGCCGTGACTTTTATACCTAGGCCCTCTGACCCCCACCCCTTCCCTCGAAAAAAACAGCGTATAGTTCAGCGGAATATCAAAACAAAACGCATGAATGAAAGCGACCCTCTACCACACAAAACAACACCTGTAAACACCCAATTTGTGTTCTTTGAAATTGAAAAGGATATTGCATTGTGTTTGTTACTTTCGTTGCAGTTGTATGTCTTAAGTGTAATTTGGCATGCTTTTATTTTTGAAGGCGAGTTTACGCTGTTGACAGGAAGTTGTTGTTGCTATGGAAACAAGAAAAGCTTCATAGCGGGCGGAACTTGTCATAAAGTCCGCGATAATAAAACCCACCCATTTAGAGGGAAGATATGATTGGTCAATTGTACTGTCATTTGACATTACTCTCTCGTTCAGTTAGGCGAAGTCCCGCCCATTTACCTCCGACCCATGGGACCTTATTTCGGAAAGATTATGTATTGAAGTCAATGGGGAGAGAAAACTAAACTAAAATAATATATATATATTTTTTTTTAATGTTTTTAAATATTATTTTGTAGAATATTTTAGGCCTTAGACATTACATGTTCAAGGCCAATTACAGAGTCATAATTGAGTTTGGCTGACTTTCTCCTTTTCTCATCATTCCACAGGTCTGCGGCTGCTTGGCATCGGGAGAAATCAGTACATTGACCTAATGAACCAGTGCAGGTCGTCCAAAGTAAGACATGTTTATAATACAGCCTTTTAAATAGATGTGTTCAAGTTAGAAAAGTCAGTGTAAAGTGCATATGGGAATATTTAATTTAATCCAGCTGTATTTTCTCGGATTTAGCCGACAGCAAACTGCATGGCAATTCTCAATAGATAGAACGGCCTAATAAGTATTTACAAAAGCCAGAAAACACACAATATCATTCCACCATTTTCTTCACAATTATTAGCACATATCATGTTAATTAGATTGTAGTGATTTAGTCTGACCTCACTTTATAATTTTGTCTCCTTTTTCAGAAATTCTTTCGCAGGAAATCAGCGCGAGACCTGCTCCCATCCAAACCAGTGGAGATCTCTGTGGAGCCGTGGTGGACGGCGCAGACCGGCTACATCACCGAGGACGATATCAGGGTGCGATAAGTGCTCTGCCTCTCTTATTTCCCATGTTTAACCATGTGTATGGATTTGTAATGTTTAGTATTAGCATGCAGGGATGGATACAGTGGAAGGAGAGTTGGCAGATTTAATTATGTTATTTTATTTCATATAGCAAATGCAAAACTGTACTCTTTTAATCCTTATTCAGTTTTATCTACAGTTCATGTATCATTGATTTACAACATAAGTGAGAAAATATGTTGGCTGGTGTTGACTTTTCATTGAAGATTCTTACACGTCACCCACCAAGCTACAATCATTGATCGTACGAGCGCCTGCACTGCATGTGGAGATCTCACCTGACTACAAATAAATACCTGCAGCGTTCCCAATACTTCTTCTCCCCTCCATAAATAGGAAAAAATAAACTCTGGAAAAACAGTCAAGGAATTCATACATTTCATCATCCCAGAGACTGTCCTACCCCTGTTGTTCACTGGAGGCTTTTTTGACGAACAAAGCCACATATCCAGGTGTGCTCTTATGTTGTTTTTTTTCTTTTTGTTTGTTTACAGATCTGTTCCACAGCAGAGAAGAAAGCCATTGATAAGATGATAGACACTGGAGCTCAGCTGGCTGGAACAATGGAGTACAATGTGGTGTTAAGTGAGTATCTGTCACATGTAATGTTCAAATTAAAACACCTGAAACTAATCAATCATAATCATAATCATAATCAATGTCATAACAAAGTGACGTTTACACCCTGTGTTAAAAAGAAACAACAATTATTCATTTCAATAATGGTTTGCTACTTAGCAAGAATGTCAAAATATTACTATTATTTACTTTTAGAGATTCTTTAACATATAGAAGCAAAGGATATTGACATTGTCACTCTCTTTTATAACAATTTTCAATTATTTTGCACCTATTCATACTTTCAGCTTTGTCTAGTTCATATGTTGTTGTATTTAAAAGATGTCTCCAATCTGTTCCCCTTGAATTTTATATTTAATTTGAGGTGGACTGAATATTTCAAACACAAAGCATTTCAGAGTGGATTGCTTCACGGTCTTACTTTTTCCAAATTAGATTTGTTCTAGTCTCCTGTCCCACCCTTACATCCGGTTTCAACAGGAATTATGGGAACACGTTGCCCCAAAGGGCTACTCTCTTTACGGCTTTACGATCCTTATGCTGCCACAAAGAGATTAAGTATTATTGGAAATGAGTGCTGTTTAAATAGTTTACTGGTGCAGATGGAGCATTACAAATCTGCAATAGCAGTTGGGGACTGAGGTAGTTTTTGTTTATTTATTTTGTATCTACCTGCTGGTACAGGATGAATTAACCTTCAGAACTAAACTTCTTTTTAATATAAAATTACATTTGTTGGCATAAATGGATAATTGTGTTTGCATCTTTCAAATTCAGCTAGCAAGAGGCAAAATCCACTTATGATATTATGGTGTGAATATCACAGATGAAGCTGCAGTCGTGTCCACGCAGTTTAAATGTTAATTAAAGAAGAGTTTCACAGTCATGAACCCCGGGCCACTGGAGTGCTGCTGACTGAGTTGGAACAAATACAATTAGATACAGGAGTCACAGGCAATTTAAATACAAGTCGCAGTTCAGATGAGATTTATTAAGCCATTCTCATATGTGCAATACACAGAACAGAACTGTGTACATGTTAACAATAACAATTTGGTATAGTAAGATTTGTTTTTCTGAATGTGGCAACCATATAATTGGTTCAATTATCCTAACAGTATATTTGTCTTTTCACTCTAGGCTTGTACAACCGGGGCTTCATATACGTGGATGTTCCCATATCTGATGACAGCTGCATCTCAGGTATGTGTGTGTGTGTGTATGTGTGTGTGTATGTGTGTGTGTGTGTTTAACATCCTGCCATTAACCCCCCCTGAGTATTTCCTTGACTGAATGCTATATTTACCTTAATTACTAATAATATAATAATAATAACTGTGGGGAAATAAGCTGTGATTATGGGTAATTGACTGATCTGAAACGAGGCCTAATAGTGTCATGAAAGATGCATACAGTATTTAAAACAAACAACTTTTTTGCAAAGTGAAATTATGTTTTTTTTAAAAAGTAGTATCTATTGGAATGTGTGTTCACCCCTCTGTGTGTTTCAGTTCCCCCGCTGGAAGGCTTTGTCATGAACCGCGTCCAAGGCGATTACTTTGAAACACTTCTCTACAAAATCTTTGTGTCCATTGATGAGCAGACGAACGTAGCGGAGGTACGCTACAGAAACACCTTTTGTTGTTCTCTCCTGTTGTGTCTGCTCAATGACATATGACTGTGTGTGTTCAAAGAACTTTTCAACTGAGTCCTATTTATTTTTCTTTCCTGATCTGCCCCCATCCCCCCCCCCCCCCCCAGCTGGCAAATGTGTTGGAGATTGACTTGGACTTGGTGAAGGTTGGTATCCACTTGCTGCAGAATGTTTCTATAGTAATATACATACTAAAGTTGTGTTTTTCACAAGAGGAAGGAAAAGTGGTAGATCTGGGGACTATTGCGCCGCTTTCCAAAATTGACACCAACAAAACAGGGTAATTTCCTCTGGTTCCACTGAGGTTTTGAAGAGATTTTGAGAGATGCTTTTTGCCTCTCTGTATGTTTTCAAAGCACACAGTGTAGCAGCAGAAAGCAATGAAGTGAACAACCTTCTTCACTTTTTTGCCAATTCGTTTTTCTGAGCCAAATATTGAGATGAAAGTTTGGCATGAAAGCTGATACATCAAAACATTTGTATTTAAATGTGTTCCTTTAGTGTTTGCTTTCAGAAGGCATGCTTTTATCAAATTTGACTACCGGTAATGTGTTGTATAACACATTTGTCGGAGTAGTAGATTGGCCATAAGAATTTTAAATTAAATTGTGTGCAAATGAATGAGAAAGGAGGGATAATATGTAGCTTAGCAAGTTGATTTTAATGCACAATTTGGCCATACATTCTGAACACACACACGCTCCCACAGAAACACATCTGAGAGATAGCCTGTGACACACACACACTCACACACACCCACCCCATGACTGATGAGGGCTGAGCAGCACCATTCCAGTTGAATTGGTGCTCGAGTTTGACCCAGTTTTTCCCAGTTTCCTATTCACTCTCGATCAGACACTGAGCCAAACTCCCAGTGTTGTGACCGCCGGTGTGAAGAGCTGAACTCCCCTCCGTCCCTCTGCCTCAGTTCATGCCTGCAGCGTAAAAGCAGCACTTAACAGAAACGGCTGAAGGCTGAGGAAGCCGCGGTTCTCCAGGAGAAAGCCGGTAACTTTAGAGTTGATTGAGATGTCTGAGAGGTCTCCTTTGTGCCGAACCCTTTCCCATTGTGACTTAAGTTTAAGTTTCTCTTGTGTAATGACTGTCTCATGGCCTGAGTCACTTGAAAAAATAAATCCTCGCTCTCTTTTGATATGGTAAGAGGAAGGGAGTTGAACTCGGCTTACACCTCTGTGTGTTGAGATGTAAGAAGCAATCATGCCCCTAACTTGATTGAGGTGACCTGAATACAATCTAAAATGGCAAGCCCAGTTGACCACTTTAAGGAAGCCAGCTGACTGTTTAGTGGAAATGTTGAAGTTTTACCCTTTTGGATTTGGTTCAGGTACCATCAACAATGAATGACTTGTTATTGTAATTCCTGTTTGGTGTTGAGAGAGCCTCACCTGAAAGAGTATCCAGGTAGCATCCAGTCTCTCTTAGACCTTCACAAGTCAACATTGTTGTCAGTAGAACCCAACCTAGTGGAAAAAAAAAGCAATGTCCTTATTTTGAGATGTTTCACAAGCAATCATACAGGAAGACAGCTATTTTAAAAGGAAAGCTACAATTTTTGCCACCCGCCGTCTCGAAAAAACCATACTGTGAATAAGTGGTGCAATCCACTTTGTTTTTCGCCTTTTCATTTCCAATTCTTATTGTCTATGCTCACCTAAAGTACACGGAGTTCGTCCAACTCTTTTGTGAGGAGAAAGGCTTCAAGATTCTTCACATTTTTGGCTTGATTTCCTTGAAAGTACTTTATTTTTAAAAAGCTGTATAATTAATGTATACATTTCCACATTAGTAAAAGTCAAGGAGAGTGACAGGTTTAAAGTTCATGATAGTAGATGACGTATTACGGTGAAAGAGTATCAGATTTTTGTGGGTCAAACAACTTTTGATTTTTGTTTTATTAATGTTTTATCAGAATGCAGTTTCCATGTACTGCCGCCTCGGCTTCGCTGTGAAGAAAGGTCATGTGATCAGCGCAGAACAGCTCCACCCCTCCTGGAAGAGCGCTCCGTCCTCCAACAGATTCAAGTATGTACAGACAGACACTTTAAATCGTCCATTTGTCCCCATAATTGTTTAAATATATTTGTCAACCTTTTACATACCAGTATGTTTTGTGCCCTGCACCTTCATCCACCTAGAAAATCCTTTAAAAATATGATATGTAACTTTTGCATTTAATTGTCTAAGAATAAGTAGGGCCATGTTTTACATATTGTTGAGTTGTGTAGTTACTAGGAGACAAATCGGCTATTTTAATAGAAGTTAATGGTCCCATTTCATTTGGTCTTCTGTAATGGCGTCGTGTGGCCTCTGAGCATGCGCCAGTGTTGTGTTTGTTTGCCAGAATTTTTAACTGGAATTTTTTATCCAGCTCTAAACGAGACTTTTACTTTACACTTTTAAGATCTTCGACATTTTTAAATATATAAGTTAATGGAAGATATCAGAGAAACAAGCTGAGCACATGGCAGCCAAACAGCGTCAGAGATGTGAGACTGCTTTATTCAGTATTATACCTGGAGACATATTCTGATAATTGGGCTTACGGTAAAAATCTCCTGAACCATTTGATGAAAAAATGAAGCAATTCTAACTCGGTGAAGGTCACTGCATTGACAAACTCCCATGATCCCACGCTGCTGCACAAATTATTTTGTTATAATTCTGAATGAGAGTCCCCAAGTGGCAGAAAATTGCTTATTCTTGGACAATTAGATTTCTCTTAATATTCAATTATTTATTACGTTTTAATAAACTACTACACTTGGTTTGATTGTGTTGATGGTGCTCTCTTTAATCCCTGTGGCTCTCTCCTCCGTCAGGAGCACCGTGGACCCTCAGAAGATGCTGCTGTCCTGGGACCAGGGCAGTCCTGTGATGGAGGGGGGCTCCTCAGCCACCGACACCGACACCACCAGCCTGGAAGAAGGTCTGAGTGGCCACACACACTCACTCACTCACTCACTCACTCACTCACTCACTCACTCACTCACTCACACTGCATTGAATGCAAATGAAAACACATCTTGATACACAAAGCCCTTTTCTTAATATTGCTTCAGAAGTTTTGAAGAAGCAGCGCTAATTAGTCCCAGAGAAAGCTTAGTTATGCTTCTGAATTTCATTCTCACATTATTAGTTGTTTTTCTAAGAAGTTTTTATTTGTGGTTTAATATTAACTTTGTTATGCCTATTAGGGTGCCAATTTGGTGTTGCTGAGACTAACAAATTGGATATTATCAAAGTGGCTGTCAACATTTATGTGTTCTATTTTCATTATTTTAAAAAGAGACACGGTTTGTGTTGGACCTTGAAAACACAGAACATTTGACATGAAATCATAAGCTCATATCCTCAGCGTATGAATCGGACAGCCAAGTAGTTGTGCTTTTGCATATATTCATGTTCATTCATTGAGTTATGCATTTGGTATACCGTATGTCTGCTTTTTATTTGTCTCTGCAGCAGAAACAGGAAGCGTTAGCAGCTTAATCATCCCAGCTGCTCCCACCAAGAGGATCGCCTTCCTGTTTGACTCCACTCTCACTGCCTTCCTCATGATGGGCAACCTGTCTCCGGTCAGTCACTGAATGTGGACGCTAGAAAACACACCGATTCTCCATGATAAAAAGCTGAATAGAGACATGACGATTTAATCACAATTAGATTTGGACTGTGCATCCTGACTCCTCTGTGTATTTGTTTCTCTGTCAGAACCTGAAGAGTCATGCAGTGACCATGTTCGAGGTGGGAAAGCTGTCCGATGAGACTCTGGACAGCTTCCTGGCTGAGTTGGAGAAGGTGAGACCAGCAATGGAAACAAAGAAAATAAATACTTGTTAGTGTATCTAGTTCAGCCTCTGTCATAAACACCAGAGTATGCTAAATTACAGCGCAATGTACTGTACATGCTCAGAGGTTTAAACAAACATGTATCTCGTGGTGTCTCTGTCTCCAGGTGGAGAGCACAGCAGAGGGCGAGGCTCAGCGTTACTTTGACCACGCTCTCACCCTGAAGAACACCATCCTTTTCCTGCGCTACAACAAAGAACTCACTCAGGACCAGGGACCAGATATCCCTAATATAGGTAAATATACGGTTACTCCCTCTCTGTCCTCCCCATTATAGGTAAATACATGCAGGTGTTATTCTCCCATACCTGTTTATACATGTGGTTAGTTGGAAGCTTGGAGGTCCGAGTTGTTTGTGCATTTTTACTCAATTTTGTCTGCTGTCTGCACACAGTTCCCTCCTTGCTGTGTTGTTAGTTTTTTTGCCAATAATTGATATATAAATGATATAAATGAAGCCAGTTCAGTACTGGTTGTTTCAAAATCACTTGGAAATTGGAAAATGTCAATCAGACAGAAATGTAAGGTGAGAGCTGGAACGTGCATTGTGAACGTGGTGGTGACTTAAGTGGCTCATTATAATGTTCACTGCCAGATGAATTTCTACTCTTTTATAGTACCAGTAGTCTTCATCACAATGTGAAATTCAGGATAAAAAAACACTCATGGAAATATCTGGGTATAGGGATGATTTGTGGGGGTTAACTGACGATAATTGTCAGCAATCATCAGCTGTATGACACTCTTTTCCAATTTACACCTTGACTCTACTCTAATAATATTATTACATATTTTGAGTTATCATTAACACAATTGAGGCAAACAACCACTGTAAATGAATCTTATTCAACTACTTAATGGTGGGGTAGGTAAGTTTGAGAAACCGGCTCGAGATACACTTGTTATATTCCATGGAATGCTCTTAACATCCTGATAGCAATGAATATCTTAAGTGCTTTGACAAAAAATCCATAAAAACATATTTCATCTGTGGAAGCCGTAATACTGTAAAAAGCACGACCAATCATTTTAGCCGGCCCGGCTAAAATAACTGGATGGCCTACCTGCCTGTCAGCCTTCCACCTGTGCACAAACTTATCTCGTGCCCTCATTGGTCATGTGCGCGTTCGTGTGTGTTGGAGGAGGGGCTCTGGAAGGAAGTCTGAAGGAAGGGGCAGATTTTTTTTCGGCTGCGTACTTTCAAATGGTTTCTCCATTCTTACCTACCCTACCTTTTAAATCTGTGGTTTTCAATAATAAATCACAAGCAATGAAAGATTTAGAGATATCTTTATGTGAAGGTTTTGCCTAAGACTGTAAACCTTTTTGGAAGCAATGAAGAGGAAGTGGATCTTCTATTTGTTCTACTTTTGGCAAACTTGTGTCAAAACTTGTCTCTCTGCTGTATCTCCCCCTCACCTGTTTCAAACTTGAATATATGACCATATTTTATTCAAGTCTCTCCTAAATATTGTTAAAGGCCTGTCCATCCAGAGTGAAGCTGTATTGTTCTCCTGGAGTCTCTAGTGGGAGTCGGAGAGGACCAAGCTAACTGAGTTTCCCTGTAACAACGGTTGTGACACCAGATGCTGTTTGTTTGCTTTGGCAGCGTGCCTCTCTTCTGATTGTCTTATCTCTCAGTCGTCCTCAGCTGCTGCTCGAGACGTCTGCTGGGGAGCGAGCACACTGAGAAGCCCGCTGGGTGAAGCCCACAATGATACAAATTATAATGAGAATAAATAATAAATGATTATCAGATTGCAAAAATCAAGATCCAAACCTTAGACAATACAATGTGAAGCAGCAGCCTCATTGCATATTGTGAATGGCTCTTATCTGTTTTACTCTGAGTGTCTGAGATTCAGTTCGTTATTTGCATCTGCTTCACTCCGGTTATGATTTAACATTAATTATCACCTTTAGCACTTAATAGACACCTCTTAGACTTATATCTAGCATGCAAAGGTTGATTATTAAATCAAAGAAGGCCATGTTGACACTTTCTCCTTTTGAGAGGACTTTCTTACAAGCGTCTCTTTGGAGAGAAGACTTCTCTTGACGCCACTGTTATAAATAAATCATCTTTACTGGGCTCTCTGGATGAAGTTCTTCAACCCAGTTGCTGTTTGATGCATCTACACTTGGTAGAATGATTGACAGGATCTTTATTTGCACTCATTGCTTCTGTACGCTTCTTTTTCTTTAAAGCAGGGGACGCCAAACTCTTTTTATTTTAACAGGTCAAACAATAGTAAATGCGTATTTTACAACTAGTTACAAAGCAAAGAATGAAACGTTTCTAGAGCAGAAATTGTGCCACCGAAAAAGAAAATTCCATGAAAATAAATGCACCACTTCTAAACTGTTTAATGTTTGACATTACTGTATTTCATGGATGCACCCACATATTACAAACAGTATTTCTATGTCTGCTGCTCTTAATTTAGGAATACTAAAGCCTAAAAAAATTATGAGGTGTGTAAATCTGAAAACAGGGAAAGATAAAACTACTGACAAATACTGGTTTATGTTCCTAGCCTAAGCACCAACTCAAAAGACTACAATGAAAATGTAAGATGTAAATCTGTAACTCTAATATTTAGATGTAACAAACAGAAATGGCAGGTCGGGTAAAATATTGGTTTCATAGCCAAGATGTTGAAATAAAAACAATTTCACTAAATCTAGTTGACATCTTGTGCTTAAACTTGGATGTGTACTTTCAGTGCAAATCATGACAAATAATACTGTATGCTCAAGCCATGGCGTATAGATAGTTTGGTTATCCCTGTTTGAAAGGAATAGTAAGTACAGTAAAAGGTAACAACCAGCAGCTAGTTAGCTTAGCTTTGCATAAATACTGGAAACAGGGGTAACAGTTGGCAATTCATTCTTTACTCTCTTCTATTCTTCTACCATCCATGAAGTAACTTCACAAAACACCCAAATACTCAAACTACATGCATTCAGCCCGATGACTCACAGTAAGATCTCAGCTTGTTTGGTATAGAAGTTGAAACTGAGCCTGGTTTGTCCCCTCCAGGTTTCCCCTTGGACATGTTGCGCTGTGAGAGCCTGCTGGGTCTGGACCAGGCCACCTGCAGCCGGGTCCTCAACAAGAACTACAAGCTGCTGGTCTCCATGGCGCCGCTCAGCAACGAGATCAGACCCATCAGCAGCTGCACGCCTCAGGTACGACTCCTGGAGGGAGGGAGGGGGGGAGCGGAGGGGATACTGTGTCACCCTGGGATCAAATGATCACCGTTGGAGAGTTGTGAGACAGTGTGAGACAGTTTGTGCATGTGTGGTCTGTTTAGTTTGCCTTTTTCTGTGTGTACACACTTGAGTGATCTGTTGCCGTGTGTGTGTGTGTGTGTGCTTTGTGTGCACTCAGTCTGCAGTTGCCCCCAACAACAAGGCTATACAAAGAGAGGGAGGAAGGAAGGGAGAAAGGCTCATGAGTAATTCCTCTGCCTGGCTTCAATCCAGCTTTCTCGCTGAGCCCAGAGAGACAGAGGGAAAGAAGTTAAACTCTTGTTGTGCCATTCACGCTGCTCTTTAATCGCACACTACTGGGAGTCAGTGAAGTGGAATTCAATGAATGTGTTGCTTTGTTTTCTGCTTGGTTCAACAATGGCAGCTTCAATTTCAGCTTCTTCCACAGAAAACACAATGACTCTCCTTTGTCTCTGTTACTTACCTTCACTTTAAGCGTGTGTTTATGTAAGAAATTCAATGGAAAAAGCATTAATGTGTGTTTCTACCCACAGCATATTGGCCCAGCTATCCCTGAGGTGAGCTCCATCTGGTTCAAGTTATACCTGTATCATGTGACCGGCCAGGGCCCGCCCTCTCTGCTGCTCTCCAAAGGCTCCAGACTCCGCAAACTGCCAGACATTTTCCAGGTTAGCACATACTAATAATTAATCAGATAAGTGCACAGTTGAGTAAGTAAACGTATGCTGATAAAGATTCTGTACAAGCTTAAGAAATCTTTTTGAAGCCGGATAAGAAAAGCCCTGCACGATGTGATAAGAAAAACACATTTTTTGAGCCCGATCAAAGATGTGACTGCACACTTTTTCACTCGTCTTTGACTCCTGCCCTTTCAAATGTTGACCTTGTCGCTCAGTTTGTAATCAGAGCACCGGAGGTACATTTTCCTTCATCTCCTTCTACCTTCATTTGTAACTCTGCGCATCACAATCACATTCATATCACACTGTGCACCTGCATTTCCCGCACCAAAGGCTTCCCTGATACTACTGGAATGTTGTAACTATCCGTGGAATGCGAGACGGTGAACAAAAGAGAATCAGATTTTCACAGAAGAGCAGGTTATATCATGCAAATGGGTCACTTTATCGGAACAAACAGCATGTGTTTTTCTTGCTGTCATTTGACTTATTTAAAAACAGTTGTCTTACATAGTCATTTTAACTGAAGGATTTACCTCCTTGTAAAACACAAACGCCTCACTCCTTTATATCATGGAAAAGCTCTAACTCATTAAGAGGTCAAACTAGCTGCAGGGTGTGGGTTTAGTTATTATTAATCAGTTTTAGGTTTGGTGCGGTCAAGTTGACATGTCAGTAAACAGAATACAAATAATTCCTCTCAATAAGATTTTTGACTGAGATTATACATGAAGAAACCTTTTCATGTTATTTGAGTCTAGAGGTACTGTTACATTCCACTTGTGTTAAGTTCCTCATTATATGAATAACATTATTCTTATCATTGCTCAGTACGGTACATAATGAGCAGCTGTGAGTTCTTTACTTGACCCACATTCTGTTTCTGTCCAGACCTACGACAGGTTGTTGATCACCTCCTGGGGTCACGACCCCGGAGTCGTGCCAACATCCAACGTGCTGACCACCATGCTCAATGACGCGCTCACACACTCCTACTGCTGATACTAATCCAGGTAAAACCAACTTACTGTAAATGAGCGCCCACTTTAACATTGAGGTTTCGTTGTTCTCTTAATTGCATCATCGTGTTGTGTTGGTTGGTGGTGTGTGTGTGTGTGTGTGTGTGTGTGTTGTGTGTGGTGTGTGTGGTGTGTTGTGTGTTTGTGTTTGTGTTGTGTGTGTTGTTGTGTGTGGTGTGTAGTTAGTGTGTGTGTTAGTGTTGTGTGTGTGTGTGTGTGTGTCGTGTGTGTGTTGTGTGTGTTGTGTGTGTGTGTGTGTGTGTGTGTGTGTGTGTGTGTGTGTGTGTGTGTGTGTGTGTGTGTGTGTGTGTGTGTGTGTGTGTGTGTGTGTGTGTGTGTGTGTGTGTGTGTGTGTGTGTGTGTGTGTGTGTGTGTGTGTGTGTGTGTGTGTGTGTGTGTGTGTGTGTGTGTGTGTGTGTGTGTGTGTGTGTGTGTGTGTGTGTGTGTGTGTGTGTGTGTGTGTGTGTGTGTGTGTCCCTCCCTCAGGGTCACGGTATGCACGGCCACGGAGAAACCGTTCACATCCCGTTCCCCTTTGATGCAGACGATCTGGAAGGAGGTGAGTTTTTATCCGTGGATAAATCTTTTAAATGATACAGTCGTAAAAGAGGTGTTTTTGGGTGTTTCCCTTCCCTGTAGTGTGCATTTGATCTCGAAAATATGTTACAGTCGAGGCACAAAATACAGATAGGAACTCTGAAAATTAGCTTAATAGGGCCCCTTTCATTTGTGTTATTACAAGAATAATTTAATTAAAGTAATCCAGAGCAAGGCTTAAAGCTACATTTATTTTCTCATAGGTCTTATAAAGAAATAATTTTAGCAGAAGCAAACATCCGATAAACTGAATATGGCACAGTTTTAATTGTTTACAATACAAGTTATTGACACAACATGAGAAGAGAATTTTTGGCACATTTTTGTTCACATTACTATTTTCACATCTCAATAAAGACTTAAACTTAAAACAAAGATCAGTATTATCTAACGTAGCAAGAAATGGCAGACTTCAACATTTGCTTTCCACTTCTATTAACCTTGAGTTCATGAGTAAAAAAGCCACACTGGTCCTCTTCAAAATCATGCATTAAATAATGAATAAGTCATATTGCAATATGAGTGTCCTGTCACTGTCATGTTGCGTATAAATAATTAACATAACATGAGTCAAGCTATTCAACTTTCTCTGGTTCCTCAAATATTCCGTTTTTGGGCTTAAGGGTTTAAACACGTCAAACATCATTAAAAGGATTGGAATCCTCTCAAATCCTTCTCTTGTGATTTTGTGTGTGTGGCTTAACACTAACACTGATCCCCTTAATACATTTGCTGTGACAATATTACATCCTCTGCAGAAACAGAATTGATATGGATGCCATGCTGCACACATATTAATATGGCGTCTTGTTGGAGTGAGCTTCACTGCCGTTGTTTGTGTTGTCTCTCCTCCCTGCGCAGACTTCTCCCACTCCAACATGTGTGTGCACAAGGCGCTGCAGAAGCTGAAGGAGAACGTGGACCTGGAGCACCAGTGTGGCTACATCACCATGCTCAACGCCAACAACCGGCACCGACGCAGACCCAGCGAAGGCAATGAGTGCAGAGGTAAGACACACTCTTTTTTTTGTTGCAGATGTTTGTATGTTAGAGACAAGACATAGAGTTGAATTAGTAACCATGACTTTGCCTCGGCGGCCATTAACACTGATAGTGCAAATTGGATTAAGCCCACAGTCCAGTTTAATTATCCTGTTTGCTGCATAATGTGTCCCTTATTGTGATAGCCTTTGCTAATGGACACGGATCGAACAGCATTAGCCTTTACCTTGAGATTCACTGATTTAAATGTTGCTGACATAATTGAAACACAATTTATTTTAATTGACCTCTCAAATGTATTCAGCAAAATTGATTGAATCAAACTTGTTTTTTTAAGTAGCTTCTTAATTAAAAGTCTGTGATCCAGCTGTGAAACAACCTTTCTGTGTCTTAATGCTGATGGAGAGTTGTTGCCTTCTTTAAGGGGAAACTCATCTGGGGGGGGGCCTGGACAACAATGGCAGTACTGAGTCATTTGAGCTTGTGACAGAAGAAAACAATGGGGAAACCAAAGCAGCAAAGACAGACAGTAAGGCTACTTTTTTGATTAAAGGGATAATTCACCCAAAATAATAATTAAAAAAATACTTTTTCTATCTCTTACCTGAGTGCTCTTTATCAATGGAGGTCCATTTGGTGTGTTTTGCAGAATGTACAAGATACTGGCATTAGAGAATTCTGCTTTCTCTCAAGTGTAATGAAAATAAACGTCACTCGGCTTATGGTGCACACAACTCATCAGCAATGTCTCTTCAGAAATCATGACCTGGTTTCTCAAAATAATCAGGTTGTGTTATTGTGAGCAGTTTTAAAGTAGGAACTCATGTTTATACCGAACAACATCTGAAAACGGTATCACCATGCAGACGGCTAGTTCCATTATATTTAAAAGAATACAGAAATATCTCAAACACTTACAACAAACCTATCCAGATTGAAAAAACGCATTTTTGCTTTTGAGGTGAATTGTTCCTTTTTAATATGCTTCTTTCCTATTCGTTAACCTTCAAATGACTTGATCAAATGTTTGAGGGTTGGGGGAGACAGTGAAAATTAGCCTTTCTATGCTAATGTCTTGTGTCTTAAGTAGTAAAGCGTGTCCTCACCATCCCTCCTCTCCGTGTCTCTTTTCCTTCAGGCCTTTCCTCTGAAGATGAGTGGGTTCCTCTTGAGCTGTGCTTCGGCATGCCCCTTTTCAGCTCCGAGCTAAACCGCAAAGTGTGTCGAAAAATCGCCTCGCACAGACTGTGCAGCAGCGAAAGGTACAAAAAAACAAAACACCCAGCGTCCTCAAAGATTTCACTTTTGTTTAAAACTTTGAAAAAGGTGTAAAGACGTGTGTTGTGACTTTGTTGTTGTTTCAGCCTTCAAGAGCTCCTTTACTCGAGCCGAAAGCTATCGCTGAAGGTGTTGAACTTCGTTCAGTCATTCCAGGTACAAACACTCTGCTCACTCTACAGGTTCACTCTTGAGAATACTTGCAGAAAAGAAAAGGAAATAATGTCTCTTGAAAATATCAGCAATCAGAAATGTATTATTTAAAATGAAATCTGTTAAGAGTTAATCAAGATTAAAAACTGATTAATAATTCATGCTTGTATCCTATTTAATCTTTGATTTAATCTGCTTTAGAAACAACGTTGTGCGGTATTGTGAGAGAGAGAAGGATTTAAAAAACGTTAGAAAACAACATAATTAAATCTTTGTAATAACCATCTACACAAATAAATATTGCATCTTCAATCTCGAGATAATGAGATAATTAAGACACTATTTTGATGCAATAGGATTAAAGGTCCCCTATTAAACAGTTTTTCATCAATATATTATAGGTCTCAGATATATACAAAACATGTCTCTGAAGTGTTTGGCTGAAATACCAAACAGATCATTGCAGCATCCCATAATCCCCTCTGTTTCAGCCCTGTTTCAAAAGTGCTGATTCTGTGTCTGTAGCTTTAAATGCTAATGAGCTGCTGCTGGCCACGCCCCTCTGAGAGATGATTGGTTGAAAAAAACACAATGGTGTTCTGGGAGGAGATTCAGGGGATAAGGTGGGGTGGGGGTTACCTTGGGTGGTGATTGGCTAATGGTTACACAAGCCAAAAAACATTGTGACATCACAAAGTGGCCAGAATCTGATCAGCTCATTTTCAGACTGGTTTTTATATAAATGGATCAGGACAAAAGAGAGCAAATCTTTTTTCCTGTAACTTTCAGAATCGCTTACCACAAGAGGGATTTTGCATAATAGGTGACCTTTAAAATAACTGCCTGGCGGCTCTTTTATCAAACCTTTTGTGTTGAATGAGTACTGGGTTAGATAATACCATGTGCTATTCTTTACCATAAATATTTTTTTAAGAAGAGTTTTTGATTCTATACATTTGCCAAACCAATCTTTTTTTTATCCTGAGAGGACCTACATCCAGTCTGAAAAAATACTTCTAAGTGAGGGTAAATACTGTAAAGAAACCTTGGCTTTTTATTGTAATTCTTTTTAGAAAAGATGAAAGACAACACATGTACATACCAAACAGAAAGGTAGTGTGTATTGCACATGCAGTGTCCGAAAATTGGAGCATAAAATGCAATAAAACGACCATAGTTCACTCTGAGTGCAGCCACACAGGGTGGAGGATATGAGAGCCGGGTTGAGATAAAGGTGAAGTATTATTTTGAAGTATCACTCTTGGAGACAATGTATTCGGAGACTATAGAGAGAAAATAAATATTAAGCAGAAAGGAACATTAAATCCTAACAATTTAGTAGGAAGTGTAGTTTAAAAGAACACAGGAAGTGATAATAACAAATATGTACAACTAACACAACACAGATGTGCAGAAGAGGTAAGAAACCCCCCCAGGGCTTACAGTCAAAATGTATCCTTAAACTACAGATATTTGTTGCCTTAACATAAGATATTTAAAGGTCACCTACAGTATTATGCAACATCCACGTTTCCTTGCCTTTTATACATCAACATGTGTCCCCCCCCCCTCTGTGCAAAGAGATTCTGAAAGTTTCAGGAAAAAAGATTCGCTCACTTTTTGTCCTGATCCATTTATATAAAAACCTGTCTGAAAATGAGCTGATCAGATTTTGGCCACTTTATGGCCCCCCCCCCCCACCTTATCACCTGAATCTCCTCCAAGAGCACCATTGTGTTCTTTTTAACCAAATATCTCTCTTGCGGCTTTCACACCAGCGCTTTTCCCTTTCTAGCTCCTAGCGAGAGCTTTTCTGGTTCAGCTCCGGTTTCCCTTTTCAGCTCCCGCTCTGTTCACACCGCCCAGAGCTGCCGAGAGATTTTCTCCCACAACAACAACGGGCCGGGGACTGCGTCGGGTCGACGATCGTGTTGCTTTTAATCATACGAAGCCAGATTAAATTAAATAACGACTTCTCCAACCTTATACTTTTCTCCAGAGTGCCGTGGTTCATTGTTTATTAATGTGTTTCAGCGGCATTTACCGACCGCTGCAGTGCTGGCCGCTCTTCAACGGGAGTTTATTCTCCCGTTAGCTCACACGGCTCTAAAGTATTCACTGTCTGACTGTCACACAAGCAGCTGATACATATCCCCAGTTCCCCTTAAGTGAATGTGTGTCAGTCTGAATTGACGCTGTTTGGCATCACAACGCTGTTATGAAAGTTTCTCTGGTATAACATGGGTGATGTTAGCATAGCAACCGAAGCTAAACTGACTACTTGCTAAGCCGTGTTCTACAGGCACATTTTACCGGCGTATTTTTCATTATGATTCTACTTGTGATAGTCGGACATGACAACCTGTGCAGCCCATGTATTGATTCCATCCGATAGCTGCTATAATAACAAACAAAACGTCTGCCTGCTCTCCACAATGATCAATAACAGCGAACGGATGGTCAAAGTAAGGTTTCCTGCACGCCTCGACGTAAGCGACGCCGCGTCATAGCTCCAAAGCTCTTGCCTCTGGACCGACAACTTTTTGGAGCTGGAAGTGAACCGCATTCCGGAGCTATGACGCGCCGCCGCTGCGGTGTGAACAGGAAAAACCGGCGCTTTTCAGGCTCTAGCTCCCAGCAGGAGCTGGAAAAGCGCCGGTGTGAAAGGGGCATCAGAGGGGCGTGGGGAGTGGCTCCTTATTTTCATCTAAAGTAACAGACAGAGAATCAGCTCTTTTGAAACAGAGGGGATTATGGGATGCTGCATTGATCTGTTTGGTATTTCGAGACAAACACTTCAGAGACATGTTTTTTATATATCTGAGACCTATAATATATTGATGAAAAACAGTATAATAGGGCCCCTTTAAAACTAAAAAGACAATATAAGGGAAGGGTAAATGTGAATATTTCTACCTGATGTATCTGTTCCTCTTTGACCGTTTGCATATTTTACCTCCGCATCTTTAACCGCATGATTAGTAAAACAGGAACCATTCTACTTGGCCTTTAGCAACTGTTTTGTCCCAGAGTAACGACTCTTGTGTTCCTGGTTGTCCTGATCCACTGTGCCCTGTGTCAGCAGGACAGCATCCAGCCCTCTGACATGGACAGCGGCGTGTCGAACCCTCTCAGTCAACCCCCGGCCGAGTCCGGCGTCCCCCTGCCCGCCCTCAACCTCATCTTCAAGGACGGGCAGCTGAAGGAGTGGAGCGGGCGGGCCCCTCCTCCTCTCGACATCTCCGCTCTGCAGAAGGACCAATCCACATAAACCCACCTCCCCAAAAAACAGATTTGGCCATAAGGAAAAACATCCTCATCAAAAAGGCCCCTCCTCTCACTGAGGGAAATTGTAAATCGAGGTCCAGCCCTGCATCGTGTCCATCAGTCTTGGGAAAATTAGCCCCGCCAGCACTTCATCACCTACTGTATGAGGAATCTCCTTCTGACAGTGTTGCCCCCCCCTCACTGTTCCCCTCTGTGATTCCTCATATTCGTAGCAACGCAGTGTTATCTGTTGGGAGTGGTGCTATTATCACAGTATATAAGTGATGCAGGTAAACCTTACCTGGAAGATCATTTACCTGGAAACACACACGCTGTTCTCCACTGACTATCCCCCCCCTCCCCACCCCACTCTTCTTCAATCTATGGGTGTTCTGTGAGAGCGAAGTGGTTATTAATTGTATAGATGTTATTGAAATGACCCACAAAATATATGATGAAGTGTGACATCGGCAGGACTCATTTGACAATATGCATATTCCAGGACCAACTTTCAGGACGGATGGAGTCCAGGTTCAGCCCCCCTGTGTTGTCTCACGTTACGTGATCTGATGCATGATACTGTTGCACAACTCATGAAAAATACTTTACTTGTAATCAATGTCGGGGGCATTTATTATTTGCACTGTGCAGGATTTCTTCAAACCTGTGGATGAAGTAATGTCATGTAATTCTTTTTAAACGTTGGATTCCTTGTATTGCGTACCTGGTTTTAGACGTTAACCACAAGACAGGTTTTCCTCTTGGAATTTAACTGGGCATCAGAGAAACTGCAGTTTTTTTATTCTTTGTCATCATTATTCTTCAGTACAAGAAACACCAAAGACCCTTTTCTGTTCCTGTATTATAAGTTTTACTTTCTTTCCTTTATTTTGTCAGCCAATCAAAAATGACAAGGTCTATAGGTTTGATTAGCTTACTTTTGCCTTTTTTAAGTGATTTATGCACATTTGAACAAGTGTCTACAACCAATACAATCATCAATATTGAGCCATAAACTACCAACATCGCCCTGTTGAAGAATTTGAGAAAATTAACTAAGTTGACCTGATTGCATGGATTGTTAACAGTCAGGTTTGTGTTTGACCCCGGCCTGCCGCAGCCAGTATTTCCCCCTGGATCGACTCCAGTTAGTGAGCAGTGCACTCTCCAAGGGTTTCTGTTTACACCGTGTTGAAAAATGGGGTTTGTAGTCCAGAGAGGAGAAGGCAACTTCGCTGTGAAGGCTGTCACAGACCCATGGGATGGAAATGCTAATGCTCTGCCCGGTGTTTCAGAGATGTTTTGGCCCAAGAGTCAGAAGTGTTTCTTGAGTTTTCAGTGTGGCTCGAAGAATATAGATCTCCTTTTATTGCATTTAGAATGCTAATCCACTTTGTTGAACATTTTTCTTGCATTTCTTTTTTTTTTTAAAGGAATCTGTCTCCTGCAGTTTTTGACCCCACTTGTGGTTGTTATTTCTAATAATATGATGCCGAAATAGAAAAAAAAGGACTAACATGAGGTCCGGTTGAAGCATGATGACTGTGTAGAAACTGTTGTGTGTAAGTTGTGTATGCGTGTGTTGTACACCTTACTCTTGGTGTGTTTTTCATACACGCCTACCTTTCACAGGTCAAGTTGCAGTGCTCGGTCATCCTAGATATCCCCCATCCTCCACTACAGTGTTTAAACAAAATGCTAGTTTTATATGTCAGCCTATATTTTAGGAAATCTTTGTTGTAGCTTGTTTGATGGGACTGTGAATATCATTGAGTGAGTTCATAATGCTCTTGTAATTAAATGGGATTGAAAAAATATGAACGTGACATTCCTTCAACATGCACTTCCTCCATCCTTACTCCATTTTCCCCTCTGCTCCAGATACATGTTATTATGATGAATAAATATGTAAAAAGTATATGAGAATATAAATAAATATGTTATAAGAACAAACTCTTTTTCCTCCCTGAAATGTCTGTCTGTGTCGTTCTTCCTCTCTTTGTTGATTTGTATCACTGATTTCTACCTCTACTGCCTCTGAACTGTAGCCAATCACATTACATGACATTAAGCCGTACTCGGTAGATGTTTTGCTCGCCAGGTGGAACAGATGGCGAGCAAGACGCAGCGGTCCGGATGCTCTGTCCATCTGCCTCGAGTACACACTTCTTCACCCATCGTTGTAGATTTATATCTAACACTTTTTTGAAAAACAACATCTGAAACATGGATGTGCAGCCTCGCGAAGAGCTACGATTTTTTTTTAGGAAGTGTAAGGTGTCGGTTTACAGTTGACTCTGCCCCCAACGGACAGGTGGATCCCCTCCTAATTGACTGTGTCTCCCAGGCCTCCCTGCTCCAATAATTTCCTAGCACCACAAATTACAGTGTGTCACTGGCGGGGGGGCACCAGGGGCGTAAACTGGGTCATGCCACCTGAGGATTGGACGCACCAAGAAAGAAGCAGTCATATGGCCTGCACGTCAACACTTTGACAGTTAATTTGTTTCAGACACCCTCACGCTGCACTGATGCTCGCTTTGGAAAGGTGTAATAAATCTGCTATATTCATTCTTCAGATTAGTTATTTTTTACTTCCATCATATGCATTATCAAACTGGCACTGCTGCAAGGCTTAAAGCTGACATTTAAAAACATTGTTCACATACAAAGTAGCCTATATACAAACAGTTGAACCAAACCTGATGAAAGGTCAATGAAGGTTACACCAGTCTCTTGAAAGCTGAAATAGTGCGATTTATCACCATTTCAAGCTAACATGTAAACAGCCTATACATCTTAGATAAAGTTACTAAGTGTGAGGATGCAGTTATCCCATTGGTGTAAGCTGTCATTGAACTAACCTAGACTCCAAAATAACTTAAAATTGTTATAAAATGGTTTATAAAATAGGCAGTTTCCCCAAAATAACTGGGACACATTTTATGGGCACACTGAATCTGAACCTTAAGCTCGTGTGGTTAAGATGTTAAACGTTGCTTCTGTCTTGACCTGGAAACCTGCATGACGATATTTGAACCCTGTGACCCAAGTTGAATCTTACTAGCCAGGGAAAACATTTAATCTGGATTAGTAAGAGTTGGAAATCACATAGCGTGATCCTGAGCAGCTCTAAGAAAGCTCAGTCTCATAATTAACCTGATAGTCTTAAGGAGTTCTGCCTAAGAGCTTCTACATGTATGCTAATCTGCTGAGTCCACCCTGGCCCAGGGAGCCATTCGGCCTGTTTAAACTAGACAAATGGATCAGATGGAGGTTTTTTCCCCCTGTTGAGACACGTCCTCTATCATTTCTACTGTGCTTAATGACTTTGCCGTCAGTTTGTAATCGGTCCCTCCAGTGGGAACTCAGCTCAGTGCCAGGGTAAATGTCAGGTTCATCCTATTTGTGGTTTGTGTCTCTCTCATCTTAGTTGAACATACATGTTTCTATTTACAGCCTGTCAAACATAAACACACCTCTTAGCATCCTCCAGTCTCTCACTCACAGCCTCCCATTTCCAGGACAGGTGTTTTCACAACCAGGATTCTGCAGCGTGTGCCATTTTTGGGGAATAGCTCATTCTCCTTGCCTCTGGGATACACTGGTGAGAAAATAGCCCATAACTGAGAGCCAGTCTAGGCAGGCCACAAACCACTACATGTGTAATGGAGACATTACAGTCCCACCAGGGGACTGAGAGGGAGCCAACCACTGTGCTGCTTCAGTTCACTCAAGGACAGGCAGGTGGTCAAAACAGTAAAAAATGTTGTACTGCTCACAGTCTTCCTTACTGTCAACTTCTAAACCAATATGTATTTATTTTTGTTTCCCTATTTTGCATCGTTTTTTTTAAAGAAACATTTAATCAAATTAAAAAATCAAGATTAATATCCAAATTAAAATAAAACAAGAACTAATAAAAAATACATCCATAAAAAAAAGTATATACAAAATGAACAATTGGCTAACAGATACATATTGTTTTAACCAATGAAATGATCCCATAAATAAAACAATAAAAACGTAAACAAATATTATAGAAGAAATAAAATGTAAAGTAATACAAATAATGAAATAGATATCTCACTACCTTGCCAAATCAATAAAAACAAACATCAAACATATATTCTAACTTAATAAAACTTAGTTACAATGAAATATAATTGATTAATAAACATATTTAATTATTTATATATTCCTATAGGCCTACAGCTTTGTATTTTATTTGATAATTAAAGCCATAAAGAAAAAATCTTATCCTCCAACCTCCTCAGACAAAGGGACATATTTACAACAGTATTTAAGTCTTAAGTGGAGATGAGGAGTCAGTGTATTGAAGGTGCGGTGATATAGAGCCCGCACACTTCCGCTTTAAAGCGAGGCAGCAGCTGAGTCGCTGCGGAGCCCCAGATCTACAGATCAGCTTCAGTTCAGCCTCTCTCTCTGCGCAGTGTGTGCGCCGTCACCACAGCGGACTAGTTTGTCTACACTAGTGCGGTGTAGACAAACATACGGGCGAGGATTTGGATAATAACTCTCATTGTTCCGTTTACGTGATCGCCTGAAGACGGAACTTTACGCAGGGAAACAGCAGGTGAGTCTACGAGGCTACACCTGCAGGATACTTCTCCTCGCGGAAATTGAAACCAGTTTGTTTTCTCTTCCCAACTCCACTTGTTGATGGGGCAACAACAAGCTACTCAAGCAGCCACACCACGGATATACACTTATGCGTAATTTAGATAAAATCCTGTCCAACGGCAGGGCGAGGGAAGTTATAACCTGTGAGGTTTTGTGGCAGATTGTGGTGATGTTTGGCGACCGGTAGCCTGACATCAGATCGTATTACACAGGCTTTCACCGGGGGAGCAGCGGCATGGGGAACCAGATGGACAAGCTGTCACATTTAAGTTACGCAGAAGTTCCCACGGTGGACCCTAACGGCGTGGACACGGAGGAAGGTCCACGGATTGGTGTCTCTTACATATTCTCCAACGACGACGACGAGCTGGAGGAAGGCTGCACGGTCGATGGCTCGGATAAGGACCCGAATAAGGAAGAGAAACAATACGATCCGCGCGACGAGGTGGAGTGCGCCGTCTACTACAGAGATGAGTGCATTTACGAGAAGAGCGTCAAGTCTGCCAACCTGGAGGTTTACTCCCCGGAGAATCTACTAAACAAATGCAAAGCAGGGGACCTGGTGGAGTTTGTGGCCACGGGTCAGTTCCCGCACTGGGCTGTGTACGTGGGGGACTTCCAGGTGGTGCACCTGCACAGAGCCGAGGTGAAAAACAGCTGTTTAACAGATGCCAGTCAAGGGAGGAGGTGTAGGATTGTGAACGACTTGTACAAATTCAAAGCTCTGGGTCCGGACATGGTGGTGCAGAATGCGATGGAGCAAGTGGGGTTAAAGGACCGGGAGCTGAGCTGGAGGAACTCGGAGGGATTTGCCGCCTGGTGCAGGTTTGGCAAAAGGGAGTTCAAAATGGGTGGGGAGATCCGGATAGGCAAGCAGCCGTACAGGTTGAAAATATTCATGTCTGAGAAACACTCACACGTGTTGGAGTTTCAGAGTTTGGAGGACATGATCATGGAGAAGAGGAGGAACGATCACCTGGGCAGGAAAGCCGTGCTGAAGGAGCTGGCCACTCACTTCAGCAGCGTGGAGCAGAGCAAAAGCGAGGAGCCAGGCGCAGACTGATGGCCTCCTGATGGCCTCCTGATGCTCTAAATGAATTGCTTTGCAAGTAGAGTAGCCTTGACCAAACATAAACTGTTACACTCTGCTTTAATCTATAGCAAGCCTTCACTTTATTTTTAATGGAAGCATCATTTTAGTCTGTTAACAATGTTATTGCCTTAAAGCCTCAATCATCAAAATCCCCCAGATGCTTCATGGCCTTAGTAATTATGAGTTCAGTTTTCTGGGAAAAATCGAATTGATTGTTTGTAGCTCCGCTCCACCACACAGAATGTAACGTTTTTATAGAGCCTTTAAACATTTATGTCAAGCTGTCATGATTTTGTGAGAAGAGTGAATGTTTCTTTATTCATCGTGTGTCCTGTTAGTTGATCCTGCTGCAGTTTAACTTCATCCCTCAGCTCTACCCAGACAGAAATGTGTCAGAGCTGCTCGCTGAATACAAGAAGGATTATTTCTGCCTTTACAAGGGTTATTCTCACACCAGCACATGTTGGAGGAAATGTTGAGGAGCTGGTGTTACACTGATCCAAGTTTGTCTTTACTGTACTCACAGTTCAAGTAAACCATGACCCTGTGTCTTCTTTTGAAATGAATAATCTGTCTTACTGTTTTTCTTTACTTTACATGCACACGAGTAAGATATTCATCCATGTCTGTTCAGTCAATTCATATAGATATCTGCTGTGTGTTTAAAATGCTTGTTTTGGCTTCTTTATATGATCTTAAAGTGTTTCTTAGACAGAGTAATTTGCTGGAAAGACAACACAACATGTGCTGTGATCTTCTCCCCTCCCTCCTCTACTGACATGTTATCTCCTTCATGTTGCAGGCCGTGCTCTGTCGTGCTCGTATCAGACTGAAGCTGGAATTACCAGAGGCAGCTTTCAGTACTTTGTGTGTTTATATGTCTGTAGACAGATGTTGTCACCACCATAGCGTCACAACCGTGCAAGATGCAGTCATGACACTTTACACGTGTGTATTTAAGACGAAAATCAAAGATGGCTGTGGCCTAAGCAGGGTGACAAAAGTCTGGGGTAGGAAGTGGTGAAGGGGTCTTCCCCCACTTTAAGCCGCTAGTATGTTAATCATCACAATGCATGTTTGATTGAGCTGTGTGCACAGGTTGCTGATAGGCCAGTTTTTTTATTTGCCAGAACGTGGCATAATGACATCAGATATACAGTCATAATAATGACAAATTCGGGTTTAGCCTGTTAGCATAGAATCATACCAGTATAAGCTTGTATAGGCAGGCAGGCAAAACCTGAAATGGACCCAACTCTAGGTAAAGCTTAACCCTCCAGCACTACCACGATTGTTTGCTGAGATATTGTGATGAGTTTGAATCAAATCATAAAGGGTGTATAAAGCAACATTCCTCAATGTTTCTAGCAGCTGCCATACAGTACATGATTTAATAATTACATTACTGCATTAAATTGATAGTAGTAACGGGAAAATGGCTCAAGTGTTTGGATGACAAACTTTCATGATCGTTTACATGAACAAATTAAAAGCGTTTTTAAACCATCTGCCACCTTAATGATTAAACTATGATCTGCCTTAATATCTATACACTTTTGTTGTTGAATCTAAACTCCACTGCATACCTATGAAAGGATTCGAGACAGTATTTCGTTTTCACTCCAGCCCCAAAGAACACCAGGGAATATTGTTGTACAGAGTGTCTCTACAGCCTCAGTGTGAGGAAATCACATTGTATCAATAAGAGTGCTCAGTGTGCCCTGATGATGGCAGTGATAAGCTTGTTTACTTATCATTGGAGGAGGCTATACTATCTGCTGTAATCCACCAATGATTCTCTCGCGTCAGAAAGTGATACTTTTTTCAAATTTATGTTTTGTTTTTCTCATATGAGTGTATTCTTAAAGCTTCTTTTGAGATAATTGAAATGCTACCCTCAAGGTTTCCCAACTCAAGAGCTTGTTATCTTGGTTGAAAAGGAATAAACATTGTACAAATGATTATTTTTTTAATGCAGAGCAACTGCACTAAATGTTTCCATGTACTATAGCAACAGAATAACAGGAAGTGGTATAGCTACAATCTTGTAACTGTCCCACAGTTTAAAAAAAGTCTGACTACTTAAATAATCTATGACTGTTTGATATATGTATAAAAATACTTTTTTTAAGGAAAACATGGATCAATAAGACCTACTGTAAATGTTACTTACAGTATGGCACTATCTTGATGCTTAAGCCCCTACAGTATGTGCTGCATTCACAAGCAGTTGCTTTGATATTCCTTACAGCAATGAAATTCAAATTAGGACATGGTTTACTCTCTTAAGGATGATGTCAGGTTTAACCTTTCCTAATTGATGTTATATACAGTAATAGAAAGTAGTGCAGCTGAGGAGATGTTAAGCTGTTACAATGGGAACATCCTGCATGTGAGGTGTGGTGCAGATAGTTGACATGTGTTGATGTTTGGCTTTAAACTTCACAGCAGTTGAACTTGATTGCAAACTTTTGACCTGTTTCTAGTTTTCAGGCACATCAATGCAGTGTTTGACAACCTTTTTGTTTACGCCCCCTTCTAGGAATACTTTACTTACAGGATTATCTGTATATCAATTATTCTCTTTGTGTCACTTTACATGCTTGAAGAATGTTCTTATTGCAGGCCTCCACAGATAACCAAAAATGGAGAAAAATCTTGATGAATTGAGACAAAGTGGGGCCGCGTCTCAACCCAGCAAAACTACTGAATATCAAGACATTTGTTTACAACTCTAAAAAACTGATGCAGAATAACCCAAGTTAATGAGCACTTGTCTGCTAAATCTTTATTATGTAAATCAGTTCCACATACACAGTTTAACGCTTGCAAAACAAACGTAATGTGTTTAAAAAAGCAAGTTTTTTAGTAGTCTTATAACTGAACACATAAGCGTCATAATATTCTGCCCAAGTTGTGTGCAAGGTTTAAACTGAGGTTTTTTTCGCATTTATTTTTGCTGTTTTTAAATGCGACCTCTGTTTAAAATTGCTTGTTGATTCTTTGGAGGCAAGAGGGAAATAAGAAATCCTTCAAGAATACAAGGTAGCATAGTAAGTATTTGATATAAAATGATCATTCAGTGGGTGAAGCCTTCCTTTAAAATGTAGGAGATTTCTACTTTTGACATTAATATCCCTCATCCTTCTGTTTTTTATACCATTCCTCCTGTAGTACAATGAGGGATGCATGATGCTCTCACAGTGAATTGGCATTACCTCTCTCCCTGGCCATTCCTCTTGATGGGACGTGAAAGCTTGGACACGGTTACCCAATTATAATCATCTGTCAGCGCGGGAACCTCATCCTGCTGCTGCTCCTATAGGTTTGATTTCATATAGGTGACAAACCCATGAGATTGGTTGCAATATACAAGAGAGAGACATCAGAGTTCATGCCTACCTGTAGCTGAAATGCAAAAGATCATTTTGCTGCACTTGTGAGAGGTACACAGTGAGAGAGGAATAGAAGGTATAGTTTTAACAAGCCTTGTTCTCATAAATAAATACTCAGACACAATTTTCCTTCCATCTGTTTACTGCCTCCACAAATACATGCAGATAAACAAAAGTTTAACAACCTGTTCGAGAGGCTCATCTTGAGGTGCTCCATTTCTCATCTCACCAAGAGATGTAGCTGTGGAGGAAAATTAATTCCAATTTTGTAATTATTCAAACACTAACAAGAGACTTGGAACACCATTAGAGCCCAACACATACTTAAGATGTTGTTTTGTCTTCACAGAAAACCCAAAGGGCTTTTAATAAAAGAGCCTGGAGACTGCATGTATTGTCAGTTTTTGAGCTGAGGGTTTTCCATGTTAATTTAGTCAAAGTGCATTATGGAGATGGAGGCAGTGGGACTCCTTCTCCATCTGTACCACGAAGCTTCAAAGCGTGCCTTACTTTTTTATATTTAAAATGTTGATTTCAGGTAAAATATCTCTAATGAAGGAGGAGTTAGATTAGAAATAGGCTCGATCATCTTCTTGCAGAGAGTTTGACGAAGCGATCGAGAGCATTCCTGTGTCTGGGTGCTAAACAATAAGCTGGAGCCTGAACCAGTAACTTCCTGAAGTATCCCTGGTTGCCTGGCAACTGCCACAGGCCAGGGAGTCGTTTTTGCACAGATTAAACAAACGAGATATAACGCGCTGATTACTAAAGCTTCAAAGGTGGTGCTGGTGGGTTTTATTCCTTTTGGACAGATCCAGCTGTTCCACCTGTTTCCAGTATTTATGCTAAGCTAAGCTAACCAGTCTCTTGCTTCATGTTTACCGTACAGACAGTTGATATTCTCATCTAAGTGTTTTCAAGAAAGCAAATATGCTGAACTCTACTACACAAACTATTACAAAAACGGTATTATGGAACACATTATGTTGTCTGTTCTTTCATATCTCTATAACTCCATCCCTAGAGATTTCGTGATGCAGCTGTTAAAAGTAGAATAATGTAGAGAAATGAATCAAAATCAGAATCAGAAATCCTTTATTAGTCCCACAGCGGGGACATTTACATTACAATTTAAATTACTTTGTTAAATCAGTGCAGCATCTAAAAGTAAAATGTCTTCCAAAAAAACATGTACAGACACAAATTAATCATAATTCTATAACAAGAACAAAACAAAAGACCCAATTAAGGACACAGCATGGAGGCCCAACCTGGGTTTCTTTTTCCAACAGGAAATCAAGTGTGAATAAAGTAATTGAAACATTTGAACTGCAGGCAAACACTCAGGCACTTTTAAAATAACGTGATTACACCTGCCATGAGTGAGTAACAGCGGCCCACATTATCAACAAAGTCTCTCCTGTGTGTCAGAGTGACGCCAGGAAAACTCCTCAATGCCTCAAGGACAATTATTATACTCTGACGTCATGGTGAGAAACTCTTTAATGGGAGGAATGTCTAAACAGTTTTTTTTAGTGGCCAGAAAAGCACTACTGTGCAATGAAGCAAAACAAAAGAATGAATCACTGGCACGGTGAATAATGAGAAATCTCAGAGGTGGTCGAGATGAGAGTAGAGCAAGACTGTGTTAGCCTCTGTGGCAACAAGAAGCAATTACAGAATTACAGGACGTGAGTAAAATCTGTCTAACAGTGGCACAAATAGTAAAAAGTAAACAATCTTACTCTGTAAAATCGAAATATATGTTTAAAGTGTGCTTACAGTACATTGGCTAAAAAATAATAATAACAATGCTGAAAGTAAATTCATATAATACTTTAATAATACTTTATTAATAAAAATACGTGAGATGTGAGTCTTGGTGTAGCCGGTCAGTCTGATTCTCTCATATTGTGGCAGGCAGAGTCAAACTGTCCTGCAATAATGAAGCTTTCTTTTATTTCTCCTAGTAATATTTATAGTTTTTCATTTTATTTTTTAAATAATTGAGGATGCCTATAGAATTTTGGGAAGAATTGTTTCCGTACTGGTTTGAATTTTGGGCATTGTATGAGGAACTGCTGCTCTGTTTCCACAGCAGTTCCTCCACACTGTTGGTATAATCGCTCGTCTTTTGGCAGCCATGTTTCCTTATAGCACTCAGTGTACGTCAACATGTGTCTGTGTTTAACGTCAGTCACTGTGGGCAGGTAGATTGCCACAGTGGACTGTCTTTTTAGGGTCAGATAACATTGGTTTTTACTTTCTGTAAGTGTTCCAATAAGTATGGTAGTTTGTTGTGTGTTTTGTTATAATTTGGTTGACTCTAATAGGTAAGGTCTCAGACTGGTCCATTGTTGTTGAGCTATGTTTTCATTTCGCCAGTAGGTTTTAGATTCCTGAAAGTGTTTTTCACCAGTGAGCTGGTTTTAGCTTCTGATAGGTTCTCAACACATTTTGGATTCAATCTGTCGACCCCTTCACTTTTCCATTTCCCATTACCGGGATGGCAGCCAATGTATTTCACCCAAAATGTGGCCCGAAGCTGTGGTCTTTCATTTGAGGTCCTTGTGGAGTGGCACAGCTGAGTGGCTTGAGATGGCGTAGAGGCAGGTGGCTTCATTGTCTGCTCAGCTTTTTGTTTACCCCGCTGTTGTCCTGCTCTGGCTTTGTGTTTGCCCGAGGGCACCCGGGTCACTTTAATAGCGTTGTTTTTGAATGATCCCAAATGTCTTCCAGGTCATTTACATTGGCTAAGTAAAGAAATTATGTTTATTTAAAGCTTTTAGCACAAAGGATTGCTAACGATGTATGCCTTTAACTAACAAGACCTAGCTTTAGATGATCAGTTCATTCATCAATCTCATGGAACACTTGAAAGTCATTTTGCTGCATGACGTGAGGCTGGGAAATCAGAAGCAATTTTACATACTGTAACCCAACAGTACAGGCTTTCTCTTCAGGGTTTACGCACCATTAAGCTGCTAAATTGGACGACACAAGTGCAGAGTGAGTCATAGCACGCAGTAGTCCAACACTTTCTTCTTATCGCTCCCTTATCTGTTGACACAGCTGGATATGCAGGCAGAGATCAGCTTTGAAAGGGCACACGCTCTACTCTGTCTGTATTGTGAACAAATCTAATAATTTTGTGTGCGTATAACGAGAAAACTAAACGTTTCACTTCAATCATTTAATTGGGAGCTCCTATCTGAACATCTGGATGGTTACATTATTTAATTTGGCAATTATTTTCTATTTATGGTCAACTGATTTTGAAGTTATTGAGTCTTTAATTCACCTTATTTCTGATGATCCTTATTGGCAGTACTCCATTCACTCAAAGAGTCTCTTTCGTACTGTAAAGCCAAAATGGTGCCATATAAGTAATTCTTCTTATAAAATGTAAGTATGAGCTCATCGGGGATAAGTTTCAAGTCTTAAAAGAAACATTTTCATGCTGCTGGTGTTAAATCACACCTTAAGATGAATCAAAGCTTTGAGTCATTAACTCAAATATATATATTATATTTGGCATGAATCCCAGACTGTGTGAAATGCGGTCC